ATAATTAAAGCCTCGGATATTGCATATGAAAATAATATTTTATAATGTAGTATATAATTACAATATATTATAACTATATAATAAATAAAAATAAAAAAACTATATAATTAATATTTAATTACAAACTAGCATATATTTATAATTAAGGCATCAAATATTGTATATGAAAATAATATTTTATACCATGGTATGTAATTGTAATGTATAATAAACTATATATTAAATAAAAATAAAACTATATAATTAATATTTAATATATAGTAGCATATATTTACGTTTAATTAATATTTCTAATTGGACTTGGATCTCCAATAGCTTGGATAGATTAAGATGCCATTATACTCATTTATTTTTGGATTACAATTCTTTTTAATCAAATTATATTTTTGCATTTTGAAATTTTAAATCTTAAGAATTTGGAATGCCTTTATAAATCTTAAAAATTTAATGTAATATTTTAAAATATACATTATTTATATTTAAAATTAACTATGTGGGATAGTTATAAACATGAAAAATGAGTATTAATTAGATATTAAAACTAAATTAATTAAGTATAGTATTCTTAACTAATAAATTTTAAAGTTAATGTGATAACTTTTAATTTAGACTAAAGATATCATATTTTAATCAATTTTAGTAATTAGTAATAAATAAATAAAATTTACATCAGCATTTAATTTTTTTTATACTTTTAAATTTAAGTAATTAAATATTTATAAATATATAAATTAATATATTTAAATAAACTGAAATACATGTTATTTTATATCTATACTAAAGAATTTAGATTTTTTGTGAGAAATATGCTTTTTAATTAAATTATTCTAATTAAATCCTTTAATAGTGAGTAAAATAACACAAAGATTTAAATAAAATAAAAACACCCCAAATTATTTGATTTAATTTTATATCTTTTATCTTATTTTAATTAATTTCGTAATTATTAATAAAAAATATAAATATTAGATTTTTATATGCTTTTGAATTTAAGTAATTAAATCTTAAATATTAATAAATACATGTAAACTTAAAATATTTTAAATACATTTTTTTATATCCATATTAAATAATTAAATTATTTCAATTAACGGTATATTGAAAATTAAAATGGGAAGGAAAATATAAGAGTATATAGAAAAAGGATACAGAAATATATATCATTTAAAATTTTAGAAAGCAAATCTGAAATATATAGAGTTTTGTGGTATTAATTAATTAAGATTATTTTAATTATTTTATTTAGTATATCCTTATTTAAGAATGTATTAAATAAAGGGTTGAGATGAGTTTTATCAAATATCATAATTAATAAAATTATTTTATATTAGTCACTATAACGTTGACTAACTGTAAACAACCCCAAAAAACCTTCATGCTGGAAAGCAGCTGCTCGAAAACAACTTTTTTGACATTCTACTAAGAAGTAAGTTATCGTCCTTTCTCACTCTCTTTTTTCTTTTTAATTTTTATGTTTCCAAGAAAATGTCTCTATGCAGTTACATATTCCAAGAACATGGAATATTGCAACAGGCAAATTTATATAAATATTAATATTTTTTATTTATTTAAAATAGATTTTTGAAATTTATTTATGAAGATAAATTAATTTTTTAGTTAAGAAATCAATTTTTGAAGAACTAATTTTTACTGAGAAATTAGTTCTTGGAGAGATTGATTTTTTCAGAGAAATCATTTATGAGAGAATCGACTTCTCAATTAGGAAATCAGGCCACTAGCAAAGCTCCTTCCGTAAAGCTTTGCAACAAATAAATGGGAAGAAGGAAAGGAAAAGGAATAAGAGGAAAAAGCAGAAGGATAGAAGGATGGGGCTGGGGCAAAAAAAATTGGGAGCTCCACTTAGGCAGCAACTAAGAGAGAGGTAGAAGGTAAGAAGGAGAATGAAAGAAGAGAAAGGGGGAGAGGGCAGGTGTGATGATCCAATTATGTTAATTAATTTGGTTCAGGGGCCCAAGTGCATTAATTAAAGTTACAGTGCTCAAATGGTAATTTTGGAGAGTTTAATTGCATAAATTTTGAGATTTAGGGGTTTAATTGTTAAATCAAGGAGTATGGGTTCAAATTGGAAACACGGACAAGCTAGGGACTAAATTAGAAGTTTAGCAGGAGTAAAACTGAAGAAAGTAAGAGATAAGGGGACTTGATTATGACAGAATAAAGCAATCTGGCTCAACAATGTCTGAACTAACTGAGCCACATTTTGCACAAAACAGGTGATGATTTTCCATTGACATTTCGCACCTTTTCATGCATTTTAGAAAGGTGAATCGAAGCCCTCTTCCAATTCCAAGAAATCAAGTGAGGTTTGAGGGAGATTGAGCAATTTTTGCATCGATAGGTTCTCCGCGGTAGAACTGGATTTTTCCCCGATATTCGAGTCATTTTGAGTGATTTAAAACTAATTAAATTGCTCAGGGAGGGTTGTTTGCTCGAGTTTTACAAGTTTTGAAGATCTATCAGTCGAGATAAGTGAGATTTTTGGGTTTTTATGGTTTCGGTTGCTCACAAGGGTTTCAGGTTTTGATTTGTTTTTTCGGGCGAGGAAGAAAGGACCTGGATAAATCTGGGTCCTGTGTTGGGTTGGGCTAGGCTGTTAGACCTAGCCTCAACCCAGTTAGGCTGATGGTCTGTGGCCTGGGCTGCAAGCCAAGCCAAGAAGGATGTGTGGCTGAGTTGACTTAGTGAGTCAACTTAGCCTAGTAATGGAATTGGAGGGTCAACCCAGCGAGGTTGACTCAGTTTGGGAATAAGGATATGCTATACCAGGTGTAGGCTAGGATCAGGATAAGGACCTAATGGGGATAGCAGAATTAAATGATTTAATAATAAAATAGGATTTCGGTTGAGGGCAGTTTTTGATTCAAGGGCTAGTTCACTAGTTTTTAGGCCAGCTCTTTAGGATGTTAGATCAGTTCTGGGTAGGTAAAGTTGGCTCACATCTCGGGATGGTTTGGGTTATTAGAAAATCGCTTAGTTCATTGGGGAATTGGGCCAGATCAGTACATAAGTTTATAAATTAAAGGTTTTAGCCCAGTTCAAGGCTAGTTTAAGGGTTTTCTGGCCAATTTAGATTGGTTCCTAGGGTTTTGGGGCCTTTTAAATTTGATTTTGAGGTTCGTGTTGGTTCAGTTTGATTTGAGGTAGTTTTAGACCAATTTAGGTGTGTTGAGGGTTTTGGAGGCTGGTTCGCTATTGTTCAAGGGTTGTTAAGTAAACCTGATGAGTGTTCATGAGTTTGCAAACATTTGTGATGGAAGTGGTACCTTGAGATGCGTGTCAAGTGTCCGAGATGGGATGCAGTTTTGTCAGAGCGTCGAGATGGCGTAAGCTTGGAGCTGCCGAGCCCATTTCTTATGTTGGTTTGGTGATGGTGGCGATTTTGTGTATGGTTTTGGTTATAGATATGCCTGAGTATGTGCGCCCAGACTTGTGAGTCGGGTGAGAGAGACAAAGAATTCTTTCTTGACTTGGCTTCAACACTGTAAGTGATGATACATTTCCTATGCATGCATTTTTTCTACTGTGTTTTTTGGCATGACTCTTATATGTTTTTCAAACTATATTTTGGTATATGTTACTTCTGGGATACGTGTTATGTGGTTTGTAAACTATCAGTGAGTTATGTTGATATGATGATACTGGTTTTGAAATTTTGAATTGTATATGTATGTATATTTGTTTTTGACTCATTTGTGATGATGGAATTATGTGATGTGATTTGGGGACACCAGGTGGCTCGACTGGAGGATCATGATGCCGTAGCATCTAGTGCGAGTGACTTAGGTCCGTTATGAGCGGTAAGGGCCACAGGCGGCAAAGGCCGTGTACATGTTGCGTACTATCATGATATGTGTTGGGATGCATAGGGGCTTAGCTGGCAAATGGTGGGCCATAGCGTGCGGAGAGTGCCTTAGGCCCAGTGATGTGATGAGTTTGGGATGTCAAGAGCTCAACTGGTAAATAGTGGGCTGCCATAGCGTGCGGGAGTGCTCTGGGCCAATGATGCGATATGATGATTAGTTATGTTAATACTCACATACGTGTTTTGAAGTGTTATTACTCGCTGTATAAGTGTGGGTTTTGACATGTGGCGTGATATAAATCCAGCATGCATAAATTATTATTTATACTCATTGAATTTTACGATTCATATTTTATAAATTTTCTAAATTTGGTTTTCGGTTCTTGCCTCAGTTGGTATGCTTAAGTTAGAGCGTGATTCAACAGACTATTTGACATACAGGCATCTTTATTTTGTGTCTTTTCACCTTACATTCTAGAATAACTCTTTTATACTCTTAGATAAAATCCTGCTTGGTAGAATTGGATTTGGTTTGGTATGCTTGGTATATAAATTGTATTTTGATATGATTTGGTGTTGTAAAACTTAATAAGGTCAAGGACCCTAGCGTCGATCACCATCTAAAGCCCGAGATCGGATCATGACAAAGAGATAGCTCCTTGGACAGGGACCTGCTTGCCAGATTTCCTAGTTAGAACATATGTTTCGAGCCGATTTTTCAATTTGTGAGAAATCAGTGCTTATCGATTCTCCCATAACCAATTTCTTAGAAGAAATCAATCCTCAAAAACTAAATTTTATTTTTTTTAATTTTCTTTTTAATTTTTTTTTTTATAAAAACCAATCTCCTAGGAACTCATTTGTCAACTAAAAAAATTAAACTATTTTTGCAAATAATTCTGATCCAACTATTTTTATAAATAAAAAAATTAATATTGATATAAATTTACCCTTGCTAGAGAGTCACCAGTTTCGAATATTAACACAAGGTAAAGGAGAATTGCATGACAAATTAAAGAAACAAACGGCACTTCATCAAACTAGAGGCAGTCAGCTTCACCAGCTGATTTCAGCCAACAATGCTAATTAATTTGAATTAGACTTAGCTATTCCTGTGGTTCGATAGTAAACATAATTCCCAGCATGCGTTCTTTCTTTTTCAGGGTACATCAAAATTTTACATTAACAAGCAAACTTTTGTAAGGAAAAAATTTGCACGAGGAATGTGTAACAGATTGCCACATAAACTATGGCAATGCCAAAGCTTGAGCCATGATTGAACGATGAGAAAGCTGCTGCTCATAAAGTTGGCGGAAAATCGATACTTAGCATCATGGTATTTCTTTACATTTGGGTCTTTGGATGGATGGATGACCTGGAAAGTACATAGCTGACATCAATACGTGGGATTGGGTTATTAAACTGGGCGGTTATAAATATTCAAATACGTCTAGACTAAGCCCCGTTAAAAGTGTCATGTGATAACACTGTATGAATAAGTTTGCAGCCACAAAAAAGAAAACAAAAGGAAAAGAAATAAAGAAAGCAGAGTGTTCAACTGCACTATCTGATGCATTCACGCATACCTAGCACTCCAGTAGGCTAAGGATATCCTTTCATTATAACTCAAATTATCTTCTCACCATGTCATTAAGTGAATAATACTGAAACATACAATATCAAGAAACTTAAGATACCTGTCCAGCAGCATTGAGTGCCTTCATGGCATCATGGAGACTAGAATATCTCTTTGCAGCAACAGCACCAAGAATGGCAGCACCCAACAGCACAGAATCGTTTTCTCGAGGCAGAATTTATAGGGTAACCTGTACCAAAAGCAGAAAATAAAGCTAATTTTCCAACACATGCACAACCAAAAATATACTTGGCACTCTAGTGTTCAAGGCTTTCTTTGTGGAAGCAGATGTCAAAGATTTTTAAGACCATGAAATCATTAACATTATTACGCAATATGAGTTTCACTGCTTGAAAGGTAGAAAGTCAATTTCTTCGAAACCATAGTCAGAGGATTAGACCAGCTGGAATCATAGAAAAAAATATCAGGTATTGTTATCTAGTATAAGACAAATGTATAAGTGATATGAAGGAGTCAATACATTGAGCAAGCAACTTGGGAAGCTGAAACTTGGATAAAAAACCAATATTCTTAACTTTTTTCCTAACCAAGGTAGATAAATTTCAAAAGACAAAATTCCTAATTAGGGGAGAATTGTAACACCTGCAATTGTGACAAGGGTTTAATTTGCCATTAAAAAATTATCTTAACTTTTTTCATATTGATATTTTTATTTACATGCATATTCACATGATCATGATATCATGCATACAAATAGATGAAAATAATATGCTTCATTTCATGCATTTTAATAGTTTCAATTATTTTTTTAAATGGAATCACACTGTTGAAGGTTGATATAATATTTTATGCATATATGGATTAGTGGGATTAAATTGTAGAACATAACAATTAGGAGCTAAATTGATTCTTAAGAGGTATCTATTTGAGGAAATTAAATTCTTAAAGGGCTATAGTTGTTTCATTAGAAAATTTTAAGTGATTACAGCCAATAAAAGGTTATTGTTTAAAGTTTCAGCACTCTCTCTCTAGGCAGCCAATCCACCTCCCTTCCCTCTCAATTTCACACTTCTTCCTCCTCCTCCATTGTTACAAAGCTTCAAGCCCTAGCTTCAAATTTCTTCATCAAATCACCTTCAATCTTCAAAAATTTTAAAATTCTTGTCCCTCTACTCACAAAGAGCAAGATTATTTGGGAGAAGGGGGAAAAACCTAAGCCTTGGGAAAAGGGTTTTACATCTAGGGTTTAGAACTTCTCAAGCTCAACTCCAAACAACTTGGGGAAAGAGTGGATAATCAAAGAACAAGTGGCTAATAATGTAATTACCTTAAAGAACTCCCATTTATATTCATCTATTAATGAGTTAGTCTAAATAGTAATCAAAGAATAATATAGAATTTACTATGATAGAATCACTATACTTATGTTCTATTTCTATGTCTCAGATATGAGAATGAAACCTAAATTACGTGCAAGTAATGGTTCAGCTATAACACCTTTTATGTGCATCACTGGGCACGGTAATCTTGCATGCTCAGTGAATTTAGGAGGTAGAACTATTTAGAATTGTGTTATTTTGTTTTGCTAGTTTGTTTCTTATGTATTAAGCATTTAGCTTAAATCAGAAAATATTAAATTTGATGAAACTTTCTTTGTACCTGAATTGAATGTTCTATACAGAACATTTTCATTTTTTTCCCCCCTATTTCTACACCAAATGGAAAGTGCCCATTGCTGTGTGACGATCATCTAAGAAAAAATCAAACCTAGACCCACATAAAACTCTCATCATGTATTCTTTATAATTTTACAAATGCATGCAATCACAGGAACATCTCATCTGTGCGCCCCACTAATTTCCACACATACATATATATGCATGTTACAAACATAGATAGATAGATAGGTAGGTGAATATATACATATATATATATGTGTGCGTGTAGAGAGAGAGAGAGAGAGAGAGGGACCTAAAATATCTGCATGCTCTTGAATGAACACAGAGTTCTTTGCAAGGCCACCACATGCAAGTAGTGTGTCAATCTGCAAACAGAATACAGTCCATAAAAATTAGGTAAAACTTCTATCCCCATTGATGTTCTGTCATTTCTTCTTCTTCCTTCCTTCCCCAATTTTCCTATTCTTGCACATAAATTGAAACAACTCCATCTGTGCTCTCATAAAAATTATGTGCTCTGCCACTTAGTACAAATCCTTCACAAAAACAGCCAGAGGTCATATGCCTCTTCCAGTGCATGGATCCTTGGACCCCAGATTAGAAGAGACCAACAGGACAACATTTTGGTACTAAAGATCCTAATTATGAAACCTGCCAAGTTAGCAGCAAAATACTTCACATGGTTGTCATCCTTGTTCAGATTTGCCATGCATAAAACCAATAGGGAAATGAAAATCAGATAAGAAATGGAAATATAAAATCATCCGTTGTTTACAAACCTTTAGAGGGTTTGCATACCTCTATTTCTTTCAAAAAGTATAATGTATTATAATATAACTACTGGAAATCAAAAGGTGAAAGACAAAAATAAAACCTTGAATTTTTATCTCTATGACTAAAAAATAAAATTACAGATACATATAATATCTTTATACCCATAAAGACTTCTGATGTGAATCTGAACTTACTGCTCATCAATATTGAAAAAATAAAGTACATAATTCCTACCTTGTGGCCATGGGCATTGCAATGCTCCACTATGTGACGTGTGCCATATGCAATACCTTGTATTGCAGCAAGGTACTGAAGAGCCAACTGTTTCTCACTTGTGTCGAGGGTTAAGCCACTGATAATACCACTTGACTTTGGATCTGCAAGTGGAGACCTGAAACAGAAAGTAAACACTAAAAATCATATTTGAGAGGAAATTAATAATTACCAGGCACTAAAACTAAATGAATCAAACTCCAACATTTTACCTGTTTCCATGAAAGTCAGGAAGGATATGTATATCTTTGGTCAAAGCAGCTAAGAATGGGGATTTTTGGACAAGCATCATTGAATCCAATATCTTGTTCAGTAGTTGAAACAGAGAAATACCTGGATGGCTGAAAATTAAATATGAAAACAAACTAGTGCAACATATGTATTATGTTGTGATCAAATTATGGTATCTATCACAATAAAAGATGTGCCATAAGCCTAATAAAAAATTGAAAGAACTTACCTTGAGAAGCAGCACGATTAGCAAGGTGAGGAGAAGCAACATGGTTTTCTATTATATGGTCCAATAATGCACCAGTGGCACTCTGGCCACCTTCTGTCAGCCAATACTCCGGTATCATTGCTACATGCATTAGGCAAGCAGAAGATGTCATCTAACTACTAGACAAGAGTTTCCAATGCAACATGCAACAGAAGGTTATCAATTGTATATATGGCTAAGATAATTATAGTGTTTACCAGCAGTCTCAGAAAGTTCTTAAAAGCATAAAAGGCATCATCAAACCAAAGAAGCACCAGTTAGAATGAGGCATCTCCTACTAGTGTCCAATACTGTATCCACTCACTTCAGAAGACTAAAGAAGCTATGCCTTCATCAGGTGTTTGAAGAGAAGAAACAAAAAGAAAACCACACAGTATATGTGCCTCTCACCTCTAGAGGGGAAGAAAAAGACAGATTAAGGAAAATCACAAGGCTTACAAAGAAATATAGAGAAGCATGCATCAAACAAGTAAGGATTCCAAAATATCTAATTTGAACAAGTTTGCAGGAACTAGTGGCCCAAAAGATTGTCCACCTATTCCAATTCCATCATGAGCCCATGCACTTAATTGGGAAAAGATATCCATATGATCAAAGGCTTTGAGCCAAGGACCTCAAAACAATTACCAAAAGCGTACCTGACCAAAATGGTCCCCAGACCCCTGGGATGAACAGCTTGCTCTTAGATATGGCCATATGACAGGTAGAAGTTCCACAGACCAATACCATTCGATGGCATATGGCTTCCTTTTCAAACTCTGGATAAGAATTGTTTTGTTAAGAAAAGGAAAATGCAAAATTTAAATGACAAGGGACTTGATTTGACAAGAAACAACCTTCAGATTTAAAACCTAATGCAGGCGCACTTTCCATTACACCCACACCACCAGCATGAGCATCAATGAGCGAAGTTCCCACAGGAATTCCTGGTACCAAACCCAACTCCTGAAAATAGGAATTCATTCTCATCAAGTCAATATAACAACAAAAATACCAAAACTTGAATAATATTAGGATCTGCCCTGCAAATCCCATAGAGCAAATGGAGTATTATTCCTGTAAATGAATACATGGTTTTGCCTCAGAATGAACCCCAGGGAAATGCCACTTAAAATGAATTTGGAATTTGCAGTACAAAGTTTCTTGCCTTGGCAGCAGCAGATGTCAAACCAGAACCCAAAGCATGGCCAGGAAAAGCTACACTTCGTCCTGCTCACATAATATTTATCAAAATCCATATTTATGATAATGGAAGTCTTCTGGAGATCATGCAAAAAAAAAAAAAAAAAAACTCTTCTCAGCAGGTTGACACAAGCAAATGAAAATATGAGAAATCACTTTTCAGTTCATGCCGAACATCTTCCCAAATGTAAAAAGAGACTTTAAAAAAGTACAATAAACAACAAGAAACTAAATTGGAATTAATCTGGATTTTCTTCCATTGTTTTACTTGCTCCATGACCAGGGGTACCAAATAAAAAAATTACAGAGTCTGAGTAAATTAAAAATATGTTTTCTCAAAGTTTTTGTTTCTTTAGAGGGAAAAAAAAGAGACAGAAAATAATGATCTTCATGTCCCCACGCTTGTCTTAAATTTTGTTATCTGATAACTTTACCATTCCTATCTTTTTAAATGAACTTGATTGTAGAAAACTTTCTTCAAATTACCTAGTTTAAGCTTGTATAGATTCATTGCTTCCAGTTTGCTACATTAAAAAGCCAAATCCCTATTCTAAGGTCACAACTCACATCCTGCCTGGCCTTTATCTTCCTTAGCATACACAAAATAGATCAAAACACTTCTTAGAAAGACATCAACTATGACATATAATATACGATCACAATGTCTTAAACAACTACTAATTTTATCTTTATTAGGAAATGATTCTAGCTTCTGCTTGTTCATCCTTTCTTATTCCTTTTCTTATAACATTATTCAGCCATGTAAATATTCTCAACTTAATTATGACTTATTCTTCCAAAGATGTTGGTCCTCACGCCTCCCAATCTTTGAACCAAAATCCATATGAAGCCTTTGAAAGACATATAATAATGCTTTTCTAAGAACAGTACAATGACTGCTTACTCATGGTACTGTTCACCAATACTGCGAACACTGTTCACTCACTGCTACTTTTTGCAGCACTGTGCACGTGTTGATAATAACAAAAAAGCTCCAGAAACAACTAATTCTTAATACACAAACAAAGTATTTCCAAGGAAAACATGCAAAAGCTTTTAACTTCATATGTTGTCTTGAATTTTTCTTTTTCTTCTTTCTCTATTATCAAACAAAAAGGTAACGTACGTCAGTGTGATTAAGTATTCAAAAGATATGAGAAATGTACCTATTTTTGCATGATGTCCATCCACAAGATCACCTAAGCCAATCTCCTCCAGAAATCATCATCCCAGCCACAAGCTTCCATATCACGGGAGTCTTTGTCTGTGAGTTGTTGCATGTGTGCATGACCAAGGTATGTCCATTTGCAAACTGTGGTACACAAACTCCTAGTATCATCTCCTGTTGCTCTAGCAAAATAACAGGAATTAGGACAAATTCAGGCAAGTCAGAGAATTTGACTTTCTGCATAAAACATTTTTGGCATCTCACAGTAGTTTATGATAACAGTCTAGCAATTAATTATACCTGTATGACAACCAATCACTCAAGTCCATCCACCTAAACACCATTGCCCATGATTCTGGCATATTTTCTTTGACCCATAAAAGCTGAAAAAGTAATTCATTTAGAATATTCACCATGCATATTGAATAATTCAAATAAAGCATCACAAAATTTTCAAAGCCATTCCCATGATCAGCTTAACATCTTAATATTCCATTTAGCAGACTCTCAACAAGGACCATATGCTTTGACAACATGCTAACAAATGAAGATAAGGTCAAAGAAAATGTTAATACAATATGGTTGAAAAATAACCCCTTTGCCTGTATGATCTCCACTATAGTGATAAAAATTTTACAACTGCAAAAATACAAAGAACTCAATGTTATGGTCCACCACAGAAACATTGTCTCTTATAAAACTTATGTCCAAAACAAAAAAGGGAGGAAAGAACCTCTAGCAAATGACGACCAAATGACTAACATCCATTGTGAGATCTAAAAGATAAAGTGATGTCATAGTTGAGGCTTGACACAAAAGACTAGATCCCCACATAACCAACACATAGACATGAGAATTAAAGGAAAGGTTACAAGGAAGCCATAACTTCAATCTTTATTTTAAGGTTCAGGCTACTGGGTAGTTAGAAATAACATATCAACAAAATGAGCATAAGAGAATCTGGATGGTAATGGAAAGGACCAATTTAGATATGAACAAATTAGCAAGATAATAAATATAGCACCTATTAAGGATAACACAGAGGGAAATAGATTAAAATGGTCTGGCATATTCAATGAAGTGGTATAAGCACTTCAGTTAGAAAAAGCAACAGCATTTTTGTCAAGTACAATTCAAATAGGGTGAGTAGATCAAAATTAACTTGGGTTGAGATGGTAAACGAAGATTTTTAAGTCATTGCAATTTAACTGAAGATATGACATCTAATGGAACAAAATGGACATATAGGATTCATGTAGCCAACCCATATAGTTGAGAAAAGATTTAATGATTATTATAGTTATTGATATTTAAATTAACTTGAACCCTATTATTTGAACTTCATATAGCTTATGCATAAGTTATTAATAGAAGTCAAATAATAAGACAGGAAAGCATAACAAACCACCATATTAATTGCTCACGTACCTTAGGAGGTTGCATTTCAGGGGAAAGGGCCCACCACAGTACTGTAATACTGTTGAATTACATGAATTGATTTTTTCAGCTTGATTTACAGCTCGATGGTCCATCCACACTATCACATTTCTTCTTGAATCACCACTCCAGGATACTGAAACAGGAGAACCTTCAGAGTCAACAGCAACTGCACACAAAACCATTTTGCAGGAGTTAAATTTAGGCAAGTCTCTCATACACATTATAGTTTAAGAAATCTATTGAATAACATTCTCGTAAGCAAAGAAGAATAGTTCTGAAAGACTAGTCAAAACACAAACCAAGGGAACAAGTAGCTGCAAATCCCAAACCCGTTACTTCCTCCCCAGCAACTTGTGCAAGGGAGCATGCTGATTTCACAGCCGAGCAGATAGCATGCCAAATATCAGTTGAAGATTGCTGGATTTTCAAAAATGGAATAATTTATAAAGACAAAAACATAAATGGTCTCCAAAATAACATTAACGCAAAAAGTAGTTTATGTGGAAGAAAAGACTTTCAATTACTCCATTTCCACATTAAATGAAGTTGCATAGCTCTATCACCTCAACACAATCACCCTCCTTCCAAATCTGTATTGGACTACTGGCTGAACCCAAAAGTTTCCCCTTCTCATCAAACAGACCTGCTTCGATCAGTAATATATAAGGAACAATTTAGTATCTTGGGAGCGTGTAGATACTAAAGATACTGTACTCAGCTGAAAAATTACACACACACACAAGTTGTTAAAATGAAAAGGGTTAACAGAAGGCAAAATCGGCAGTTTTGAGCTATAATACAGCAAACATCCAATCATGAATTAGCATGTTAATAAATTCTATGTTTATAATTATAAGCATTCAATAGAACAGGAAAGTGCATCAAATTTTGCTTAAACTTCAACAAATACTCGATTATTCCAATAAAAGTTATAATATTGCACATTCTGAAGATAAAAAAATTAAAACATGGACAACCTCTACTGAACAATTCCACAATAACTGGGATCAACTACATGAACCCTAAGCCTTCTCATTGTTCTAAGAAAGTCATGTCTGCACTTAAATGACAATGAACCATATCTTTCTTTATTAAACCAACCAAGTTCATTTATTAACTCAAAAATTAACTTATATTTGTAGTTTTACCATACATCTCACTTGGCATTGTCATTTCAACTACATTTGTTTTCCTAATAGTTTGTTGCTTAAATATCTAATATTTAATAGTATCTAGTATAACTAGTTTATAGCAATCTTGTAAAATTTTTCACTTAATTTCATGTATATATGTCCATCACTTAAAGTCTTTAATTATTTCTCTACTCAATCCATCCTGCCTTAATTCTATGTCTAATATCTATAACAATATCTCCTCCATATATACAATTCAGCTGAGTATCACATTGTTCACTCTAATGTACTTTTTCGCCTTTAATTCCAATTATTGTTTCACCTGTGATTAAATTGTCACTAGATTTACTTTCTATAAATTAAATTTCATCCTATTTATGTTGAACCCACTTCATATTAATCACCCCATGTCACTGATCAAAAAGACAGGACATAATTCAAATTATTGATGTAAAAATGCAGTGACAGAAGAATCACCAGTTTCCTCTATGATAGTTTTCATCGTCAATTACGTGCATATCATATAAATTTGTATCATTTTAATAATATCATCCTTTTCTTTCTAACCTGCCCCCCTTCCCCCCCCCCCCCCCCCCCCCAACACACTATCTATTAGCAATTTTAGTGTGTAACTTTTTAACTCCATAAAAATCATAAGTATAACGTTTTACTTTGTCTTATACTCAACAGATGAATTGTTTAACATCATAGGAATGAACTCTAATTCATAGGCCATCCCAATTAGAAAGGATATCACACGCCCAGTTCATCTGAATTTCTGGGCCTCTCCCCCTCCCCGGGTAGAATGGGATTTATCACTGTTAACAGACAAAAAAGGAAAAAGAAAAATAAAATATCGACTTAATTATATGGTTTTCTTATTCTGACATATGCTGCTCGATCGCTCTCTTCCATAACTTCATATTACGATTCACAAGAGAGTTAAAACCCGATATCAGTAATCGATGAGCACAAGATGTGGAGAGGAATACGGTATAACAGGAGGTCGAAGCAATTATAAGAAGAACGGACTATTTGAATAGCTACACTGATGCTTCGCAGTGGACTCAGGTACAAGTACAAATACAACTTTCTTCCGTCACCTTAAGTACTGCCTTCTGGTATCTCCACTACTCTATTAACAACCTTCAATAAAACACAAGATAAATATTTATGAACCAAGATCGAACCTCAAGCCGTAGCCTCTAATCCTCTATAGCCGTTGCAAAACGCAACGAAATGTTGAACTCTCAAACCTACAGCTATCGATACAAACAATAATCAACCAGCAATTCCATAACAACCAATACAACTTAACAAAAAGAGCAAATTTCAAGGCCATGAATCACACTAGCAGAACATAAGTGGACAAAATAATGAAGCAGGTGAAAATGGACCTGCACGCGCGCTACCGGTGCCCACGTCGACGCCGAGAAAGACAGCGTGGCGGGGAGGGGCGGGGGCGGGGGCGGGGACGGTGGCGGTGGCCATTTCGACGGAGATGAAGGTAGAGGGGAAGGGGGGCCAATTAGAGTTTTGCTTCTGGGGGCTCAACAGCGGGGTCGTATCGGACCACGATCTCCGTCCGCCAGTCATTTTTCTTTTGTCTTCTTCTTCCTCTCTGCGTAGCTAATTTCCTGTGTTAATCTTCCATCTGTCTTCGTCGCTACTCTCCGTCCCTATAGGTGAATCCGCTAATCAGGCTATGGTTAGGATGTAATCGGAATTTGAATCTACCCTTCAGCTGACGTGGTGGCGATTCGGATGTAATTGAAGTTAACTAATAAATATTTTTATTAAATTTTAAATAAAATTTACGTTAGAGATAAAATAAAAATAATAATAAAACTCACTTCCTCATTCTTTTTTCCATATTTTTTTCTTCTTTAATAAAAAAATCAATTTTCTTTGTTCTATCACATAACTATTATTAGATATCATACAGTAAAAAAATATTATTTATTATTGCATAAAGTGTTAATAATTATTATTATATATATTAACATAGTATATATATGTATTGATATACGAATATTATTTATTATTAATTTAATTTTGGTCTGATGGTGACAATTAAATTTATATTAACGTGTAATTAATAAATAATACATTTTATTTTTTTCCCGCACTTTGCATCAAAGTGTTGCACAGGATGCATCTACTCATTTATAAGATTAGATTAAATATAATTATATAGAAATAAGCTCATTTTTTACAATAGAAAAATACAAACTCACAACCATGCTCTTAATCATTTCAGCTAATTAATTGTCAGCTAAGCAAGTTTGGGAAGACTCACGGAGTGACGTACAGACTACCGGTATGCAAGCAACTAGTCACTTGAGGACTTGATTGCATAATTATTTTCAGTAAGGGGCGGTGTTGCGCATATTTGATAAGTTTAGGTAGCAAAACCAGACTCAAAATTCGCTAGACGTCAAATTTGTTGCGGGCCGGCCACCGGCACTGGCTTTCCCCCGTCAAGTCCAAACATTTGAAGCAGCAGCCCCGCCATAGTCGACAGACGAGAAGAACTGAAGCAGACAACAACACTTATCTTTTCAAATTCACACCAACCCAACCAACCAACCAACCTCAAGCTCGGACTCATTACTCGCGCTGTCACTCTTCTCCATTTCAGGGTTTAATTATCCGCGAAATGTTCCGAATCTATGCTCTCCCCGTCCTCACTTGCCGCCGCTCCTTCTCTGAAAGAACCCATTGCCGTCTCTACAGGCTCCTCTCAACCCATCCGACCCCCATTGAGCACACTCTCTCCCATCCCATTTACGTGATATGGGGAGCCAACACCGGGGTCGGTAAAACCCTTGTCTCCACAGGCCTCGCCGCCTCCTTCCTCTCTTCTTCTTCTCTGTCTAGCTCCAAATTCATCTACATAAAGCCGGTCCAGACGGGCTTCCCCGCGGACTCTGACTCTGGCTTTGTCTACAGCAAATTGTCAGAAATCTTCGTCCACCGCAAACTCCAGCTCCCCATATTTGCCTCCAATCACGTGATCAAAGCATCCGTTCCGGCCTCGGAAGCAGTATTCCGTGGCGAAATTGGAAAATTGGAGGGTGGGTTTTGTGATTTGGGCCGGTACGAGGAGACAAAGCTGCACAGAGATGGGGGTGAATCATTGGTGTGTTCGGAATTGGTTTGCAAGACCTTTTATGGGTGGAGAGAAGCGGTTTCTCCCCACCTGGCGGCACAGAGGGAAGGCGCTGTGGTGGAGGATTCAGAGTTGTTGGGGATGCTGAAAAGTGGTTTGCGAATTGGTCTCAATGGAGGATCTGAAGTTGGCCACAACACGGGGGTTTTGAGTGTTGTAGAAACTGCTGGTGGTGTTGCGAGTCCAGGACCGTCAGGTTCTCTTCAATGCGACTTGTATAGGTGGGTGATAAATTAAAAACTGCAGTGTTTATTAAAGTTTTCAAAATGTTTCCATGATTTGAGAACTGCATGCAAATTTCACTATCCAACTTGGTGGCGAATACTTCCTGGGCTGATTTGATATCCTAAGAAAATAATCCCGCTTTAGATCATTTTGAGATTACATAATTATTTAGTTACTTCTAGATGAGAAATTTGAAAATACAATTCTACTCCAATTGAATTTCTGAAATTTCATATTTTTTGGGTGCGGAGGGAATATGTAATCTAAAACCGAGAACTTCTGATCTCTTCTAATTTTCATCTTTTATTCAAATTAACCAAGTTAATATATCACAATCCGGGTGAGTCATATTAACTCTTAAATAAAGCATTTATTTGCAGCCAAAGGACCTTATTTTTATTTTTTATTTTTTATTTTTTTATAGTTACAAGTTACTTCCACATAAAAGTGAAGCACTGAACTTCTTTCAGAAGCTTTCCTTTATAATTGACTAAGCTTTTCTCTATCCGTTACCCTGTAAACTGAATTTAACGTAATTGATGTAAAAGTACCATTTGTAGACCAACCAGCTTCCATTTTGTTTACATGTTTGTCTCTTGATTACTTCCTTCACTGAACTTCTAGAGAACACCTTTTATGTGGGCACTTTGCAAATATACCAGCATCATTGTCATGTGGCTCACAACACTGCTACATTAGTCCTTCTGGGATACTGATTAGCAAAGTAATCTGATCATTTGCACAACTGAAGTAATCATAAAGCCCATATCAAGATACTACAAGCAGGACAAACCCTGAATGGATAACACAGGTCAACAAAATTTCATATTGGTAATTAGATGCATGTTAGAATTTAATCTGTTTGATTTGGATCCATTGTAAGTTTTTTGTCAGGCCATTTCGCTTACCTGCTATTCTTGTTGGAGATGGCCGGCTGGGTGGTATTTCAGGAACCATTTCAGCTTATGAGACTTTAAAGCTTCGTGGTTATGATGTCATTGCTCTTGTTCTTGAAGATCATGGCCTTGTAAATGAGGTTCCCATGTTGTCTTATTTGCGGAACAGGTAACTACTTCCTCTTTCCACAATCCACATTTTATTGGAATTCATTTATCCTTGTTTACATTTAAGAAGTGCGTCATAGTATAGGAACCATTTTCTGAATATTGTTTTCTATCTATTATGGGGCCTACATGCATGTCTCTATGTTTGCTTGGATCTTGTGCTTGTGTTAGGTTTTGCACATCTCCCACCTTTCCCCATCTGTTGATTCTCTTACAATGGAGTATCATGACTGTGTGTACTATTCCCTTTGTTTCTCTAGGGTCCCTGTTCTTGTTCTTCCACCTATTCCAAAGGATATGTCAGATAGCCTGATGGGGTGGTTTGATGAAGCTCAGACTATCTTCAATGCTTTGAAGGAAAAAATGATTTCAGCTTTTATTGAGAGAACAGAGAGACTGTGCAGCATGCAAAAGAAAGCACAAGGGATTTTCTGGTGGCCATTTACTCAGCATAAGCTTGTAGCTGAAGAAGCTGTTACAGTAATAGATTCTCGCTGTGGCGAGCACTTTGCAGTTCACAAGGTCCACATTTTACTATATGTTGGTCATTACACAAATTCAGTCTTAGTGTTTCTTGGCATAGCTTGTGGCTTCTTGCTGAAACTATTTTGGTTAAGCATAATAAAATTGATGGGATATTTCTTTTTCTTAATTCATGTTAGTCTTTCATATACAAATTTTCCATGATTTCTTAATTCTTAGTCTTGCTGCTTATTTAAACAGTTGTCTTATCCTGGATTAACTTACTTTAGTTTTTAAAATAGGTATCAAACCATGATTTCATTGCACAACAATTTGATGCTTGTGCAAGTTGGTGGACACAGGGGCCCGATCGTACTTTGCAGGTTATTCTATTTCTTCACTAATAACCACGAAGTTCTTTTTGCAAGCCACTATGCTCTTCATGAGAACTGTGATTTAATCTTCTGTAGCTAGTAGTATTTTGAAATTATCTTCCCCATGCATACGATTGTTTTCTTTATTTGTTTGTGCAGGAAAGGTAACATATTCTAATTTACTAGTTTCTGAACTCTGAAGGCTTCCCTGCCCCTCTTTTGCACTTAGGACTTCCCTCTTTATCTTTTTCACTTAGTGGTGATGGCTGATTAAGAAGAAAAGAGTAGTTGTGGGAGCAAAATATTAATGCTTTGCCTTTACTTTCACTGGTTGAAAATTTTGTTATTGCTTATGGTATTTCTGGAGTCTGTCAACCACCTGAATAATTGGATTCATAGAGTTACTCTTATTGGATATGCTTTGATGTTTTGGATATTTTCAGTATTTTTTCCATATCTTCTATATATTATTTGATTTATTTATCCTTTTTTTTTTTGGTAACACAGTTAGATGTCAACAACAAATGCTGGCACCTCTAATTTGTACTCTCATTGAAGGGGCTTTATCTTAATAGAAACAGGATATCTTGCTCATAAAGTAGCTGCATGTTGTTTCATTTACAGGCTTGTAAAAAGTGTTCTTTAATGCTGCTATGTGTTTAGGTGGTTCCAGATTGAGCTTGCAAGGGATATGGGGTATGCTGCTGCAAGATTTGGGCATATAATGTTTCCTGAGAATGTTTATGAGCCAGCTTTAGAATGTGCTGAACTTTTGCTTGGTGGCGTTGGGAAGGGTAATATCTTTGATCCTTCCCTCTTCTTAGTAGCCTGCTCTTTCTACTTAGTTTCTAATTAGAGGCTAGAAATAAACTTCTTGGTGGAATAAAAGCATTCGAATTTACTTGTCAAACTTAACCAAAAGAAATTCAGTGGTTTATAAAAGAAAAGCATAATGCTAATAGGGCTCAAGAAAAGCTTATTGCACTCAACCTCTTTCTCACTCAGTAGAGTCTAAGTGGCTTTATTTTGGGGTGCACTTTGGCATTTTCTGAAGGTATTTATTAGTGAATTAGCTATTGCATAGCTATTGTATTGTCCCTATAACGCTGTGTTTTTTCAGCTGCTCTCTGTCCTCGTTTCCTGGTTGGTTAGGGATGATCATGTATGTATTTTATTAGTTATAGGTTGTAAACTGGTAACATGATGCTCTTACTATTTCATAGTGAACTAGATGTGCTATGAAATATTACTTGTTGATTTAACAGAGGTTCACTCAACAAAATGGTTAAGAATTTCTGCTTACCATAGGGCATTGTTATTACGTTAAATATACGTTTATGGTTTGATTACTTCACTTATGTCGGATAAAATTATTGGTATAATTTAATCTTCAATCAATGAGAAGGTTGCTCCTGTATGATCGGAGGTCATGGGTTTAAGTCACTAAAACAACCGCTATGCAAAACAGGCTTAAGGCCATAAGGCTGAAAACATTGATAACTCTCCCCCTACCCTTGCAATCTGGGAAGCTTCATCGGGTGGAGACACCCTTTTTAGCAAGAACATAAGATACATATATAAACCATGCTAAAAGCGATGAAAAGGACAAAAGGAAAGGGAAAAAAAGACACTCATGAATATGAATATCACAATTTTGTTTGGCCCATGATTGCAAAAGCAGGTTAGCCGGTGATACCGAGGTTACAAGAATGTTTTCATATTTTTTATCTGCTAGAGCCTACATAAATAAGTACATTGTTTGTAACTAGGATATGTTATCTAAAAACTATCTCTCTTCATGTGCAAGTTTTCTGAGAATGGATATAAAAAGGCTAGTTGCAAATTTATTGTTGGCACCTATCTCTTAAACAGACTCTTTTGTTGTAGCTTTTCCTAAGATTATTTAAGTATTTCCAATGATGCAAGCGTCCAAGTATTTCAACAGGGCTACCCAGTACTAATATTCAAAAAGTGAGCGTGTATGGGAAAAATTAATAATAACGGTTTGCATTGTGGGAAATGAATCTTGTTTTGTCCCACATTGATTATTTTGAGCACAATTTAAACATCAATAAGAGACTATTTGTGTCTTGAAGATGGAAGCTATGTTAGATTAGAGGCAATGGAATAGACAAAGGCAGGTTGCAAAGTAATCATTACCTGCATTAGTTGCAGAAGTTTACTTCTTATAACATTTTGTTCAAAAATAGTCCAAAGCTTCGTTGCTTGTTATATAATGTCTTTCTTTCTTTTCAATCCTTGAATTTTTTTCACTTACAGGATGGGCATCACGGACATTCTTTTCTGATAATGGATCCACAGCAATTGAAATTGCTTTGAAGATGGCATTTCGGAAATTTTTGCATGATCATAGAATCCATTTGGACCTTCCAGAGGATGACGTGGCTGAAAGATGCATTGACCTCAAGGTGTGCTCACAAGTTACCAATTCTGATTTTCTTTAACTTTATTGCCTATTATCTAATAAGAACTCCACACATGCCAGGAATGGCATTCCCTCCCTCCCCCCCCCCCCCCCCACAAAAAAAAAAATCCTCTATATTTAAATTATAATGCTCCTTTATTCCCTGCTTTCTAGTTTTATTTCTCATTTCTTTGTGTGGATAAAGTAGCTCAGAGAAAAATAAATAATATAAGCGCTTGCTCTGTCCAATTGCAAATGATGGAAGCGTTCACATCCCTAAGATAAAATGGTGCTTATACCAAATAAAGAAATGGAATGCATATCCAAAATAACATTTAGGCTAAGGGATACATCCAAATTCTGTTGAAAGGAGAAGACCACAGACAAATTTTCTTGACCAAGGCCAGTCTCTGCTTAGTATTTGTAGTAGCTGAAATAAACAATCTGAGATGCAAGAAACTCTCCTTCTTCTGTTAAATTTAAAGAGACAACAATAGGACATTCATCTTATTTTTTTCTCGGTGAAGTATTTTTGAGACATGAGAAATTGAATTGCTTATTAGGGAAATAATGCCTTTTATGTTGTAAGTTTAATTTTTGTTTCCAGAAGTATATATCTGCCTCTTCCAGTTTGGTTTCTCATGCATGCCAATCCTATGCAGAGAATTGGACATTTTGTTAAGCATTTGATTTATATGATAATTTATGAAATTTGGAAATGCTGAATTTGAAGGAAATGGGACAGTGAGAATGAAAGGGAGAAGAAGAAATGTGCAAGGCTGTGGTTTTTTTATTTAACTCCCTAAGCCACCCTATTTATGGGGTATGAATGTAATATTTCAAAATATTCTTGCCCTTTATAACACTCAAAATTACTTGAATTTATCTGAATAACAAGTTTACAAAGCAAAAGACTTCACATACTAAAGTACTATTCTATTGTGTCTAGTCTTTATTAAGTAAGCAGTATGTTAGAGGTTGCACCTTGGCACAGGGTAAAGGTTGCTCTATCCTGACCTGGGTGTCATAGGCTCAAGCCACAAAATTGTACTTTCTGCAAGCAGAAGTAAGGTGGGTTCCATCTGAACCTTCCTTGACTCTATACTGGCTGGAGTCTTGTGTATTGTGTAGCCCTTTTCACCTGTCAGGACACTTGGTAAGCTATATGCTTTGACTTGGCAAAGGACATTAAGAAGGGTACTTTTGGTTGTTGCCTATGTGACTAGGTTCCCTGTTTGGCTATTCTCTACCATGCCCAACCCTTTATTCATGTTCTCGATGCTGTATATTATTTCTTTATTGTTGCGATTAAAGGCATAATTTATTTTTAAGTTTCATTTGATGAGTATGAATTCATATAGGTGTGGGCAGATATACAGGCTACTTGGTGTATCTAATCCTAAGTAAATGTCTTTTCTTAAAAATAGGTATTAGCTCTTCGAGGATCTTATCATGGTGACACCTTGGGTGCCATGGAAGCGCAAGCACCTTCATCTTATACCAGTTTTCTCCAGCAGCCATGGTACGAGTGTTTATGTCAAAGTATTCCAAGGGTTTTGTGAATTTCTAAAATATTTAGCCTTTTAAACAAGGCTTGTGGGGATGTTCTATACCTTCTTGTCTTCTATTGATTTTGCCAATTTTACCTAATGAAACTGTTAACTATGAAAAGATAATATAGGGTTTCCAATTTAGATAGGCTAATTAGATCAATTAGGATATTCTTAGAGATTCTTTCTTTTATATTCTTTCTTTATTAGTGTAGGAGCTTTGTATATAAATTTGTATGTTTCATACATTATCAACACATGGAGAGAAATTACTTTTTCATAACATGGTATCAGAGTCAAACATTTGAAACCCTAGGTTCCAAATTTTTTTCTTTCACCTAGAGTTTTCGTCACCACTCACGCGACTATTATCTCAGAGGTACCCTTCTAAGTTGTCTTTCTTCATCATGCACCCCACCATTGTGCTTGCCAGCCATCGATCTACCTACCGTCAAAACCGTGTCGCCACAGGAGCCCTCGCATGCCACCATGTGCCGCAAAAATAGGCATCTTGAAATAACTACTCGAAATCTTTTACTTCATGGACAAGTTCCTGTTGGTTTTTGGTGTAATGCCGTTCTCATTGCCTTTTCTACTTGATTAATCGCGTGCTCTCATCTGTACTTTATAACTAGATTCCTCATTCTGTGTCATTTCCTCATCAACCTTTATATTCTATTTCACCTCATGTCTTTGGGTCAACTTGTTTTGTTCATAATCTCACTCTTGGGCTTGACAAACTTTCAGCCCAATCCATTAAGTTTGTTTTTCTTAGTGACACTTGATCTCAAAAGGGATATCGTTGCTTCTCATCTACTCTCCAACATTACTTTGTATCCCTCAATGTTACATTTTTTGAATCTATTCATTTCTTCAAGTCTTCTTCCTCGAGCTCTAAACCTATAACTGTGATTTTACCTCTTTCTCATCTCCTTGTTCCCCTCGAACAAGATGCACCTCCAAGCCCTTCTATTGAGTCCGTTACATCTTAGCCTTCTTCTACTTGTCTACTCCACTGTTATTGATAGCGCGCTATAGCGCTCGCTATGGAGCCATAGCGAGCGCTATAGCTTCTTGCGCTACGCTATGGCTATAGCATGGCGATGTCACCATAGCGAGGCATAGCGCTCGCTATGGTCGCTATTAGGGCTGATCGCTACTGCGTGAAACGCAGTAAATCAAGTTAAAACCAGGTTCACGCAAGTCGTCTCCATGATCGAAGCTCCTTTCTTCCCTGGATGAACAAATCGAGCCCTAGTTCCACGATTGAGCCTCGTCCTTTCTTCCTTGCATTGCAATTGAGCCCTGTTCTTTCAGTCGAGCTCCCGACTGAACCTTCTCTCAGCTACACGAGCCTATGACTTCTCAGTCGAGCTCGGTCTCAGTCACGCTAGGTGACTTCTCTCTCAGTCGGGCTTCTCTCTCAGTCGTTCTGCCTCTGTCGAGCTCTCCCAATCACTCTGCCTTTGTCGAGCTCAGCTGAGCCTCACGATTGAGCCACGACTACCTTAGTTCAAATCGAGCTTCATGATTCCTCTCTGTCAAGCAGTCTGAGCCGAGATTCTGGTTGTCTCCTCTGCCTTAGTTCAGGTACTCTGATCCGATATTCTTCTTCCTGGCAAGCATCGCAGGGCAAGTCTGATCTCTCCTCTGCTATCTGCCAGCTTCTCACTTCCTCCTCTCCTCTGCTATCTTGCAGCTTCTCATCCAGCAGTGTAACATTTCTGCTTTCAATGTCACGTGACAAGTAGTCTGGGTTGGGGGGCTCCTGTTTAGTTTAGCTTTGTTGTATAAAATTTCAGCTTCAGCCAGTTGAGCTCCAGCAGTTTCTGTTGTATAAAATTTCAACTCCTGTTGTGTAAAATTTCAGCTCCAGCATCTCCATTTCAGAACAAAGTATCTCATTTCAGATCTGTTACTGCTTTGTATTAGAATCAAAATGAGCACTGGTAAGAGTAGTGCTGCTGATCCAGCTTGGAAATATTGCAAAAAAATTGATCCTAAGCAGGCAAACAAGGTTATGTGTAATTTTTGTGGGAAGATTACAGCAGGTGGAATTACTAGAGCCAAATATCACTTTATTGGAGGGAATAGAAACGTCACGATATGTCAATCATGTCCCGAAACTGTTAAAGAGGAAATTCGGCAATATATTATGCAAAAGGAAGAAGTTAAATCCCATAAAGTGTTAGTGCCTCCTCATCATAACTATGAGGATTACGATTTAATTGAAGATGAGACAAAAGATGATGTTGCTCAATTACCACAAACTAATAATTCAATGAAGAAAAGGGCTTCAAGTACAGCTTCTACACAAGGAAGTAATAGTGCAACTTTGCCAAGGAAGCCAAGACAAAAAGGGCCAATGGATGCTTGTTTTACCCCTGATCTTGAGGAAGTGGTGGAGAATAGAAAAAAATTGAAAGGAAAGCAAACTACTATGAATGAGCATTACAAGAAGAAAACAAGGGGCAAAGCATGTCAAGTGGTTGCTAGATGGATGTATGATGCCGGAATTTCTTTCAATGTTGTTACTTATGATAATTTTCAAGTGATGATTGAGGCCATTGGACAATTTGGGCCTGGCATGAAGGGCCTTCATATGATGAGGTGAGGGTTCCACTTCTTCAAAAGGAAATAGATCGTACTAATGACATGATGAAGACATATAGGGAGCAATGGGCAAAACTTAGATGTTCTATCATAGCAGATGGTTGGAAAGATAGAAGGGAGATGACATTGATCAATTTCTTAGTCAATAGCCCAAAGGGGACTATTTTTATGGAGTCCTTGGGATGTATCTGATTTTGTGAAGAGTGGACAAAAGATGTTTGAATTGCTTGATAAGTTTGTACAAAAGATTAGACCAGCCAATGTTGTCCAAGTTGTGACAGATAGTGCTTCAAACAATGTATATGCTGGTATAAGTTTCACATTTCCTTAATACTTTCTAATTTATAGTCTTTTTTATAATAAGAATTTAGATACTTATTTTGTTATACTTTGTATAGGAAAATTGTTAGAGGCAACCTATCCACACTTGTATTGGACTCTCTGTGCGGCTCATTGTCTAGATTTGATGTTGGAAGATATTTGGAAAATCCCAAATCTCAACATGACAATGAAGAAGGCAGTGGCATTGAGTGGCTTTATCTATAACCATACGAGTGTGTTGAATATGATGAAACGTTTCACCAAGCAAAGAGAGCTAATAAGGCCTGCAAAAATAAGGTTTGCTACGGCATTCATAACACTCTCTAGCATTTATCAACAAAAAGCTTGTTTAAAAAGAACGTTCACTTCTGAAGATTGGACAAAAAGCAAGTGGGCAAAGGATCCACAAGGCAAGAAAGTGGCTCAAATTGTGATTGGAGAGATGTTTTGGAGAAATGTTATATATTCTCTTAAGTTGGCTGGTCCATTGATCAAGGTGCTTAGACTTGTTGACGGTGAAAAGAAACCTCCAATGGGATACATTTATAAGGCTATAGATAGAGCCAAGGAAACAATTGCTAAGACCTTTAATGAAAATGATAAAAAGTATCGGGAAACTTTCCAAATTATTGATAGAAGATGGGAAGTGCAATTGCATCGTCCACTACATGCTGCCAGGTATTACTTGAATCCAGAATTCTTCTATACAAATCCCAACATTGAGAATGATAAGGAAGTTAATATGGGTTTGATACAATACATTCAAAGATCGGTTCCTGATACTAACATTCAAGATAAAATTTCAGATGAATTGAGCATATATAAGAATGCTCAAGGTCTTTTTGGGGTTGACATGGCTGTACGTGCTAAAACAACAAATGCACCAGTTGAGTGGTGGTCATTATATGGTTCAAGTGCTCCTAATTTGCAAGCTTTTGCTATAAAAGTTCTTAGCCTTACATGCAGTGCATCTGGTTGTGAAAGAAATTGGAGTGTATTTGAAAATGTAAGTGATTATAAACTTTAAACTAAAAGTTATTCTTCTTTTATTAATTTAACTATCCATCTTATAAATCTATATGTTAGTAATTATTTATTGATTTTGCAGCTTCATACTAAAAGGAGGAATAGGCTTGCACAGCAAAAGTTGAATGATTTAGTATTCATCAAATACAATAGGGCTGAGGCGAAGATATAACATTCGTGATCAAATTGATCCAATCTCATTGAAAGATATTGATGATAGCAACGAGTGGTTGCTTAGAAGAATTGATGAAGAATTGGAGGATGAAGATGATTATGTATTTGATGGAAATGATAGTTTAACGTAGAGTGCTGTTGCTAGAGCTTCAGGAGCTGATGAGTCTACTCGTCCTATTAGGCGGTCTACCACCAAAACTCATACTCCAACCTCAATCTCGAGAGGGACAAGGAGACTAGTAGGAACGTCCTCTCCATCTATTGATCTTGATGATGAAGAGGAGGCTGGTTCAGGGAGTGAAGATGAGGAGGATTGTGAGGGATTGGATGAAAGAGATGTTTGTGGTGGCGGTGATATAGCTTTTGACGGGGTTTAGACACTCCTTTGATGTTCTAGATTTTGTTCAATCAGATTTCTATATTTTGAACTTCATTTTGATGTAGTATTTTATATTTTAGACTATATTTGATATACAATTTCATGTTTCATTTATTGATATGATTGTTGAATGGTTGTATTTGAGTACTTGTTAGATTTGTAATGTTTATGGATGTTGTTTTTATGATATATTTTAGCTATATATTGTTATTATATACTTGCGCTATTTTACCGAATGGCCACGCTATTCGCTATGCGCTATGCCGCTATGACCCCTTTGCGCTATGGTACACTATGTGCCATAAACAACTTTGGTCTACTCCAAGTTTACCATTGTCGTGCACCTCTCCCTCTTGAATTATCTCTTCTATTGATATGACGTTCTTGCAAACTCTACTCCGGCACCGACTTCCTTACCAGCTCCGGACCTACCTCTCGTACTAGACTTTCTTATTGCACTCCGAAAAGGTATACCATCTCCTCGGAATCCTTCTTCTCATTATCTTACATTGAGTTATTATCAGATGTCATCTTCGCATTACACTTGTCTAGCATCCCTATTTTCTGTGTCCATCTCTAAGTCCTCGGGTGAGGCTTTTTTCCATCCTGAACTGAGACAAGCTATGCTTGATAAAATGTGTGCACTTTAGAATAGTGGTACTTGGGATCTCATTCCTCTACCACCACCAGGAAAATTTGTTGTTGGTTGTCGGTGGATTTATACTATTAAAATTGGTCCAATTGGCAACATTGATCATCTTAAGGCTGATTTGGTAGCCGGAGGGTACACTCAGATCTTTGGCTTGGACTATGGTGATCCTTTCTCTCCTATGTCCAAGATGGCCTTTGTTCGGCTCTTTCTATCTATGGCTGCTATTTGCCATTAGCTAGATACAAAACTATCTTCCTCCATGGTGATCAGATAGAAAAAGTCTATATAGAGCAATCACTTGGATTTGTTGCTCAAGGGGAGTCCACTGGCATGTTTTGTCGTCTTTATAAGTCATTGTATGGCCTTAAACAATCTTTTCAAGCTTGGTTTGGTAGATTCAACATTGATGTCCAACAATTTGGTATGATTCGAAGTGAAACTGGTCACTTTGTGTTCTATCACCACTCGGCCCAAGGATGTATTTACTTAATTGTATATGTGGATGATATTGTTATTATTGGTAGTGATCACCACGGCATTGCTCAAATGAAATAGCATATCTGTGATCATTTCCAGACCAAAGACCTTGATAAACTCTGTTATTTCTTGGAAATTGATGTTGCACAATTCGAGGCTGGTATAGTTATCTCATAGGGAAAATATGCTACGAGTATCCTTGAAGAAATTAGTCTGTTGAATGCAAAACCCACTAACACTCCCCTGGATCCAAATATCAAACTCTTATCAAATCAGGGGGAGCCTTTAATATAAGGGATTAGTCGAAAAATTGAAGTACTTCACAGTAACATGACCAGATATCTCTTTTGTTGTCAGTGTGGTCAATCAATTTTTAAATATACATTGTGAGGATCATTGGAATGTGGTAATTCATATTCTAAAGTATATTAAAGGAGCTCCTGGTAAATGCCTTATTTATGAAAACAAAGGTCACACTCAGATTATTGGATATTTATATGCTGATTGGGTGAGTTCTCCAAACGATATCGTGTATTCATTGAGGGTAATTTAATATCATGGAAAAGCAAGAAACAAAGCATAGTTAGAAGATCAAGTGTCGAAACAGAATATCGTACCATAGTCTTGCCACTTATGAACTCATCCGGTTGAAACATCTTCTTAAAGAATTTCAATTTGGGGAGCTTATGCAAATGACACTTGTTTGTGATAATCAAGCAGCATTGCATATTACTTCCAATCCGATATTTCACAAGAGGAATAAACATATCGAGATAGATTGCCATTTCATCAGATAAAAGAATTCAATCAAAAGACATTACTACTCGATTTGTTAATTTAAATGATCTACTAGCAGATATTCTTACTAAATCTCTTAGAGGTCTTAGAATAAGTTTTTATGTAATAAGTTTGGTGCATATGATTTATATGTTCCAGCTTGAGGGGAAGTGTTAACTATGGAAAGATATTATTGGGTTTTCAATTTAAATAGACTAATTAGATCAATTAGGAGATTTTTAGAGATTCTTTCTTTTATATTCTTTTCTCATTAGTGAAGGAGCTTTGTATATAAATTTGTTTGTATCGTATATTATCAACACATAGAGAGAAATTATGTCTTCTTAACAGGAACTATTTATTCTGGACATTTTTGAATCTTTTTGTTATTTATGATTCTTTGATGCTATGGAAAGAATAGATAACACAAACAAGGGTTTATGACACTGAATAAATCATGCATGTATATGTTTGATTTCTCTTCAATCTTGCTCTCTTAGTGCACACTTGATCCTTCTCAAGAACATATATTTTGTACCGAAAGAAAAATATCTTTGCTGATGCAAAAAATATTTCAAGTAATATAGATTTGTTTTTCATGAATTGGTTGGTCCATTGTTCTTGTCAAGAAGAAAGGAATAGGAATAAAAAGTTAGTTCGGATGTTGTGATATATTTTGCCTTAAAAATTTTCTTTTAGGTACACTGGACGAGGGATTTTTCTTGACCCTCCCACAGTCTTCATGCAAAATGGTGTTTGGAAACTCACAATACCTGAAGTGATGGATTCTGGAAAGGTTGAAGAGAAAGATAGATGTGAGTAAAGCATGTCTTGCTCTCCTGAGTGTTCTTGTTGTTTTTTAGTGAACATCAAGTAACAGGTTAAATCTTTTTAAACAGTTTTTAGCTTGCGTGATGAGCTTTTCTTCAAGAGCAGGGATAGTTCAGATCTGGCTGGTAGATATTCGACATTCATATCACAACAGTTGTTGCTAGCTTCAGAACCAAGTGGTTTTACAAAGATTGGAGCATTGATAATAGAACCAGGCAAGTTTATAATATGATGTGTGTAAGAAGCCACTGACTGAATTCAGTTTTCATTACTTCCTTTTTTTTTTTTTTTTTTTTGGAAGATTGGATTTGATGAGTTCCATATTGTGGTGTTTGCTGATAAATGATTTATCAGTATGTTGGATGCTTAAGAGCTCAAGTGTCCTTTTATGGACCATTTTTTTTACTCGATTTTTTTTCTTTTTAACTTCTAATTACACTATTTAACAAGGAGAACTTGCATTTGATTAACATGCTTCAGGATGGACCCAAAGTCCTCACATTGCAACTGCACACTTGTGGAAGGTGTAGAACTTCTGCAGTGCTTTGATTGGTCCAATATATGGGATTAAACCCTTATATTGATTTAGGGAAAGGGGATAATAATGATGAATTAATGTTGGTTGAAAGGATTAAAGATCATTTTTGTGTTCCTTTTTAATTTTTTAAAACAAAAGCTAGGTAGCTTGATGCGCTGTCCATCTTGGATGCTAACACTTTGATAAGCATGGTAATCAGTTTGTGGCTGTTCCCATAATCTGAAAATTGATTCCATACCTTTTTGAGAATGACTGGATCTTTCTGGATTATTTCCAGATTTTGGTTGCTTTGAGTCCCTGTTGGAATTCTTGGAACCAACATTAATAAGGTGGTGCTTGTGCACACTTATGAAAAGCGCTTTTGCAATGCTTGAGACTGCTTCTAGCTTATAGGGTGTTTGCAAACCAGCTTTCACCTTTTATTTCTGCTTCTTCAAACTGAAAAAATTAGAAGTAAAAACTGTTTTTTGAAGCTAAGATACCAGTACTTTTAACTTAATTAGTATAATTGTAAATAAATAAAAGCTGTTTTAGGATGGTCTTGGACAGTTTTACCCTCAAAAATTTTGTTCAATTCCTAAACTACTCCCACCTTTTACTCCCTTCTCCTTATTTCTCTCTCTCTCTCTCTCTCTCTCTACATAGACCATCACCGGATCTACATAGACCCATCACCAGCAGCAGCAATCACCGCCACCTAGATGGCTGCTACGTGCGGCAGCTATGCCATGCAGCAGCAGTGACATTGCCACATGCAGCGGCAACAGCCTCAAAAAAAATAAAATAAAATGGAAAACATTGGGAAATTTGAAAAAAAAATCAAATAAAAAAAAAAATATATATATATATATGTAAGGATAAAATTGTTATTTTGGGTTTAAAAGTTTCTCTATCATCATTTCACAAAAATTATCTCTCAAGTACTATTTTGCTGACGTCAAGAACTTTTTTACGCATTTTGCAAATACCTACCACTTCTTATTAAATCAACTTTTACTCACTTTTGCTTAAAGCACCCACTTCTTATTTTACAAAAACTCCCACAAACACCCCTAAGGCAGGTTACAAGGTCCATCCTGGAATCTGGACCAGTCTCTACTGGTCCATTCCCAGATGTTGAAACTCTAGTTTTCCATATCCCTACCTTAGCTTGTTTACACAGTTTGCTAATAAGCCTGAATGAGCTCTAGTTGTGCCAAGAAAAAGAATGGATAGAGCCAACTAGGAGTTAAACGGCTTGCAATGTCTCTGTTTTTATTCATGCATAGGTATTATTAGGATGGTAAGCATGTATTTTTCTCATGTTACAGATACACTGAATTGAGTCAATATACTTGAAATTTGAATGCTTTTGCAGTCATACAAGGTGCAGGTGGAATGCTGATGATTGATCCTCTTTTCCAATGCCTACTTGTTAAAGAGTGCCGAAGTTGGAATATTCCAGTTATCTTTGATGAAGTTTTTACTGGTTTCTGGCGACTTGGAGTTGAGGTTACTTTTCAATTTCCATGTTATGATAATTGAATTTCCCTCCTATGTTTATGCTTAGCTGAGAAGTTTTCTCTGTGTTTTCAGTCTGCTGCAGAACTGCTCTGCTGTCAACCAGACATAGCCTGCTTTGCAAAGCTGATGACTGGTGGAATTATACCCTTGGCTGCCACGTTAGCAACAGATGCTGTTTTTGATTCATTTGTTGGAGATTCAAAGGTATTATTTTTTAAAGTTGTTTATCTGACCTTTGAATGCACATCTTGTTTAAATTGTAACATTGCATCATGGCTGAACAGTTTTGCCTTGGTAGCCACATTGGCTGTTGGTAATAGGCTTTGCACTCGCTCATCTTTTATGATTTAGCATGATAAAATGGCTATCTCATTCTTTAATTGAACTACTTCAGCATTAAATATTGGGTGATTTGTCTTCACGTTTTAATTCCTCTACACATACTTTTAACCCCTTGAACCCATAAGCCCATGATTCTGTGAAGCCCACTAAGGTGCAGCACTAACATATTTGAAAATACACTAGCCAACAGATTCATTTAATACTTAAGAGCCACACGTTCAAGAACTACCAGGAATCTAGTTTGCTTAAAATCAACGTCCTGTCTTATCAGAAGAATGCACAGCAGTGGTGAAAACCATGAGAATTGACAGGGTTCTTTCCGTTTCCACATCCCCCAGTCACATAAGAGAGGTGGTTGTATAAATTTTATATGTTGCATTAAAGATGCTAGTTCTATTTGTACTTGTTCTAGAAACCTGGGATCAAATTAAGTTTGCAACTATTATACAAAGGTTATGCTATTTTCTGTAGCTCATCATTTAGGAGTTGCATAGGTTTCTAACTTGTTTTTCATCAGCAATCTGTCTAATAAATAATGAAGGCAATTAGCCTAACTTAAATGCCCGTGTCGTCTTTTGTTCTGGTTCAGCTCATGGCTCTGTTACATGGACACTCTTACTCTGCGCATGCTATGGGGTGTACAGCAGCTGCTAAATCCATAAAATGGTTTAAGGACACCAGGACAAACCTCAACCTAATTTCTGAAGGAAGGTTGCTGAGAGAGGTATTCTCAAATGAGCTGTCATGTTTTTTATTTTTCCCTCTATACCTGTCTTCAAATGTTGCAAGCATTTCAACCTACTGTTGTCTGTTGATGGTGAAAGGTTTTCCTGCAGCGATCTTGTGTAAGGTTTTTTTATTAGACACTCAAAAGCTCAGCCTGTTTGTCTATTCTTTGAGAAAACTTTTGTGGCAGACACAAAGGATCTTAATGTCAAGGAAAATTGAAGAAAATTAGTTTAATATTTACTTCCTGCAAGAAACACAAGCACTCATAAGAGATAGCTAACATCTGCATCCAACATGCACAGGAGACAGACAATTTATAGATAATCATGGGGTACTCACTTGCCCAACCTTGGAATTGTTGGTTTCTAAAATAGTGCTAGTGATTTTTGAAAATTGGCTGGTAATTTGATGTGTATAAACAGTCACTAACACATAATGAACAAAGCATGGCAGTCTGATATTTCATTCATCTTCCATGCAAAGAGGATAGTGAGAAAAACTAAGCCAAGGGCTGTAATGACTTGACCAAGATGAAACATGCAGAGATGTTTCATTTAAAACTGAGTTGTCGTCATAATTATGCTATCTCAGTACGATGATACTGTTTTTTTTTTTTTCAACAATTAATTGCAAAGTCTTGCATACAAAATATATCTATTATATAGCTATACTAATAGAATTTCATCTATTTTTTAAAAAACCAATTTTCTTTTATTATTTAGACATTCCATACTATATGCACTATTACTGTCCTTAAAACAAATCATATAAAAGCATCTTCTAGGAGTGTCATGGACCATGCATTTAGAGAGTTCAATTAAAACTTTAAATACACATAATTTTAGTGCATTAACTTTTTGAGCTTTTCCTCGTAATGAACCTTTAGCTGGGGAAGGATTTGCAATTATTTTTAATAAATTGTTAACTACTATTTCAGCTAAAAGTTTAAACTTGTAGAGGGAAGAGTAACTTAATTATATAATACTTAGCATGTCCCTTCACGTGTGGCTAGAATTTATGCTCACAACATGGCCAAACGTGGAAACTTTAAACTTGTGGTAGTGAGACTTGAACCTACGATCTTTGTCTACTCTAATACCATGTTAAATTGTTAACTACCATCTCATCTAAAAATTTAAACTTGTAAAGGGAGGAGTAACTTAATTATATATTACTTAACAGTTTTTTATGTCATTAATTTTGCAATTTCGATAAGAAGTTTACTATGTTTAAGATTCGATTTGCAAATGTAATTTGCCATGGTTTTGGTGTTATGTCTGATAACACTGCTCACGACCCAGTTCAACATTAATATTTGATCATCATTTTCCTATTATGTCTGCTCATGTTTTCTAAAAATTTTATTTTGATTGTTTGCAGCTATGGGATATGGATCTGTTGAAGCAGATATCAATGCAACAAGAAGTCTGTAGAGTTGTTGCCTTGGGAACCCTCTGTGCAATAGAACTTCATGCAGAAGGACATAATGCTGGTATTGCCTAATGCTTTGACATTTTTGAATGTTATTTTTATGGGAAATAATCTCTTATGTCATTGGTTATATTTAGAGTGACTAGCTTTCTCTACCGAGTTTCTGTTAATGAATTAAAAAAGTGGCAGGGATTATCATTCACCACTAGTTGCTTTGGATATGAAACCTCTGAATTTCAATGTTGCTCATTTGTAAAAACTGAGAACTAAAAGATTACAGGTTCTTGATAACTTACAACAGATATACCCTGATTTCTCTCATTTGCAGTAATATCACTATATCACCTAGTAGGGTATTTGTAGACGAGAAATTAATGAGTGGTGTATCATGATTCATCCAGCCATTTTATATAAACAAGTGTATGCATGTTGCCTAGTGCCTACAGATATCATTAATGATACAATCAATTGGGTTATTTCTTTATAGATGGCACTCAAAATATTTATGTTAGCCAAAAATAATGGGAGAGAACAAGTCTTTGTTGGAAGAGTAGCAATGCGTGATGTCCTGCAACCGATGTCTTGTACTGTTCTTTTCTATTTGGGTTGTAGAAGCTTTGATTGGGCGGCCTGGGTGAATGGGGTTCACTACTTGCTTCCTTTAGTTTCTGCTTTTAATGCAAACTAACATTTTTTAGGTACGGATCCCTATATGCAAAATCTCTCCTTGACAAGCTCCGGCAAGATGGCATTTACATGAGACCTCTGGGTAATGTTATTTACCTCATGTGCGGGCCCTGCACTTGTCCCCATATCTGCCGCCAAGTACTTGAAAAAGTATATGAAAGATTGAAGGAGTTCAGCCAAGCAAGAATATGAAAAGATTGGAGGAGTTCAGCCAAGCAAGAAGAAGTTGAAAACCATTGAATTCTAGTTATGGTAGCAGAAAATGATATTTAGTTCTCTAATTCTTTTGTGAAATTAAACCATTTTCTCTTCTATACACTCAAAGAACATATTGCACCCTCACTTGCCATCAAGGTTTGGAGGGAATGGAATGTTTAATTTGTACAAGCTAGGCTTTTGCTTTATTTTCTTTTTGAAGTTTTTCTTCTAAGAGATGGTCTTTATTACTTTCCAAAAGTTTACAGGTGGCCATAATAGAAGGAAAATTTCCTTCTGTACTACCCACCTGCAGAGAACACAACAGGGTGTTCTAGCATATGGAATGGGATTTGGTAGTTTCTATTTTCACTTGTTCTATGTGGTCATTCTTGTGGATGCTTGTTTTTATTCTTTTTGAGACTAGGGAGTTAGTTGTCCGGTGAGTTCAACAAAAATAATGCGTCTTGATCTCAAGTATTCCCGCCGGGAACTCCAAAAGCCATATCCAAATTAATTTACAAAATACAAGTTGAACCAAAAGACATCAGTTTATTTAAACTGCATTAGCACTCTTTTTTCTCCACAAAAATCAGGTTACAGGTGAAATATTAAAACTGTGTTTGAAAATAGTGTTAACATGATTTTCTAAATAATTATAAATATTATGGATCTGTTTGTGTCAATTATTACTTTTCAAGAGAAGTACTGAAAAATAATAATAGTTAAAAAAATGTTGAAGATATAGAAGTTTGGAATGTTTGCAAATTTTATTTGAAAAATACTAGTAGTTGATAAATTAATGTTTGGTCAATTGTAGTAATTATTTATTAAGTTGAAATGCTTTAATTTTTCATTCTTTTAAAGAGTGATATATATGTGTGCGCGCGTGTGTGTGTGTGTGTAATTAATTTTTTTGAATTGTAAATACAATTTTGAAATTATCAAGAGAAAAAATAAATATGCTATTAATTAATTTATATAAGTTAATAATTTTTAATAATTTATATATTTACTTTTATATAAATTAATAATAATTTTTAAAATATAATTATTGACATTCTCTTTTTCAATATAATATTACTTATTCTTAAATTCTAACAAATTTTTGACTTAATTAAAATAAATAATTGTAGAATAATATCTTTATTGATTTAGATAGGGTAAAATAGGATTATAATGAAAATATTATAATACATTTGTCTAATCAAAATTTTAAGTATTTATAATTATGTCATTAGATATAAGAAGTATAGTTTTAAATATTTCTACTTCTTATTATTTTTAGCTAAAGTTTGGGAAAAAGTAGCATAAGAAACAATTACACAAACTAGCAAAATTGTTGAAAATATATATATAAGTAAAATATTATTAAAAAATAACTTCCGCAAACAAGCGTCATGTAAAGTTGGTTAAACTTTATTTGCATGAGTATTTATTGACTTAATCGTACAAAATAAAAATAAATTTAAATAGAAATTTCATTATTTTCATCTCATCTTCACAATCAGTTAAAACATAAATAATTTAATTCTCTATAATTTATTTGTATTTTCTTTTTTCGTTATATCTTAACAAAATTAAGGCTGCAAAATTCAGATTAAAGATTTGGAATCAATAAACAGTAGTACTCTTGACTTTTTTTCTAAAATAATTTCTTTGGCATGTATTTTTTTGCGAAATTTGAAATGATAGATTATATATTAAATAAATTTGAAGAATTATGTTAATAATTATTGGCATTATCTATTAAAGTAGAATAGACTTATTTAGATAATAAATTTTTAAAATAAAAAAAAATTATATATATATATGAAAAATGATCAATTAACACTAACATAATTACAAAAAATTTACATCAAATCTTATACCGTTAATTTGGTCTAATTTAACAAATAAAATTAATTAATATTTTAAAAAAATAGATAATTACAAATTAATTATTTTATAATTATTAAAAAATAACTGTAATTAATTTCATCCGCTAATTTTGACTAAATCAATTATATAAATTTTTTACACTTACACCGATATTAATTAATCCTTTATATACTTACATCGGTGTTAATTGATCCCTTATATATATATATATATATATATATATTAAAAAAGCCAACCGTAACAGCTCTACCAGCTGTAGCACCAGATGAAATCCACAGAGCCAAGGGTATTATTGAAAATTTGTAAGTCCTAAATTAAGTAATTTTTGTGAATTGACTTCAGCTAGAAATAAATTGCATTTTCACCTTAAGAATCCTTAAGATTAATTTTCCTAAAGCCTTTGTTCGATGACTTTTCTTTTTTTTTTTTTATTTTAGTCCTCGAGTCTTCTTGTTTCAATTTACAGAAAATTCGGCTGGACACCGATCCCAAATAGTTGTAGGACCGTCTTCTCGTATTAGAATTTAACTAAGTGCAGCACTTATTCTCGTTGGTGTGATAGCTCACTGATTAATGCTCCTGGAAGTATTGATTCATAAATGAAAACTTTCCTAATTCATCTTAAGTTAAAAAAAGAACAGAAAAAGAGCCTCCTGTTCGTAATTTTACGATGTTCTGGACTGCCTATGAATCTGGAAAGGTTACTTTGATGCCCTCTCTGCTCTCCAACCATAAGCTAGACCTATGAGGGATGAAGTAAGCACAACGCATAGCTTCACACTGTTAAAGGTTTAAAAAAAAAAGTTACTGAGAAAAAAATTAAATTGAAAAAACTAACGAAACTTCTGCCAGTCCAAAGTTAGCACACGACCCCTACCTACGCTAATCAGCAAATAAATATATTTTAAATACAACCTCCAGGCACAGGGCAGCAGCCAATCAAGTCCTCGTTCGAACACTATAAAACTTGCACTGAGCCCAGATTGCCTTGATTGGCCACTTTTCAAACTCCTTACAAAGCCCTGAAAAACCGGAGAGGGAAGACGTGGTGGCATAGTAACTGTTTTGCCATATCTGCTGGGACTGCTTAGGAGGCTGGCCTTGAGAGCCAACAAGTGGCCCATCTCGGGAGTTTTGCTGCTGATGCTCTAGAGAAATTCCAGACTGCGAATGATAGAAGTTGGGGTAACCAAGAGCTCCATAATTTTGTGAAGGCTGTTGACTTTGTCGGAACCCAGAGGGCTGCTGATTCTGTCCCTGGAAGCTGTAACATGTGCTGCCTGGAACAGCAGATATCGTTCTGGAGCTAGGCCCATGAAGCCACATCCCTGAGTTGTCATTCTGCTCACAACACACGGAGAAAACAGAAATAAAATACACACAGGCTCTGCAGAATGAATCAAACGAAAGTAAAGGGGGAGAGGCAGAGCAATGCTATAAAGAACAGTGTTATTAAAAAGCACAACCTAGGTAAGGTGCTTTTTTGCACATTCCTTGAAGTGCACCTGAAGTGCAACAAGCAATTTAGTTTCAACTGTTAGTTTTACTTTAGTAATTTAGTATTCTGAGTATGTAGCATCATATCCAAGTAATTTTCTACAATTATAAGTGTTTTGCTCTCTTCCCCTCCTCACCTCTCTTTCTTCGCCTGTTCATCTGTTCTACCCTCTCTCAAAACTTAATTCATTTTAGTTTGGCTGTCCTCGATCTCCTCTACCTCTTCTTAATCTAGATTACTTCATTGGGATTCAAAACACCCCCCCCCCCTTCACCTTTCATCTCATCTGGAATTGTTTCCTTTTCTATATGCTAAATAAGTGACTTTATTCCTTTTTTTTTCTCTTTGTTTTTCTTTTTCTTAACCATCTACCAAATTTCTAGTAATTTGCTTTTGTTCTTAAGTGCATCATATAATCATAGTTGTTAAAAGTGCACATAGCACACGCTATAGCACATAGGGCGTCGATGCGCAAATGCGAGTTGATCTTTACTATAGTGCGCACTATGGCAGGCTATTTGCGTTTTAGGGCAAAAGCGTAGCGTACCATAGCACATGCTATTATGTATATACAAAGCAAACCAGCTTTCAAAACCTTTTCCAACTCTGCTCTTAGGAGTCAGCTCCTCCGGACCCAATAAAGTCGGCTCTTGCATCTTGCAACCCAGTCATGAATCGCAAGGTGCTTGCAGTCGGCTTTAGCATCTTGCAACCTAGTCGGGCCTCGCAAGCCACAACCTCGTCACATGTTGCAACCCCGTTGCAATCAGCTCTCGGCTCTCACATCTCACAACCAGTCAAAAGTCGGAAGTCGCACCTAGGTAAGATGGCTTCGTCTTCTTTCTACTCTTCTTTTTCTTTTTTCTGGCTTTTCTACGGCTAGCATTCTTTTCTCTTCTAACAAATACTGCTCTCTCTCCCTCCCCCTCCCCCCCCCCCCCCATTTTCTCCTCTAGTCCAGCTAGGTTTATTGCATATTTTTTTCTCTATTAAGCTGCTATTTTTTCTCTTCCTCTCTCTATTTTTCCCCCTCTTCCTCTGCTTTTTGTCCCTCTTTTTACTGTTGTTACTTGAACTAAAACAATTGTTGCGGGGTTTGATTGTGCCCAAATTCATGCTTTTTTGGACTCAAATTTTTGATGTTACATTAAGAATGACGAGTAATACAGAGGAGGAAGAAAAGGACGAGGAATGCTTTGACTCTCCCAATGATGATAAGGATGATAACATCAATGTTGATGATGAAGATTTGAATGTTGTAGAATAGAGTTGGGAAGTATTTTGGAGTCTGGTTTGCTTAGTTTTGGACTTTTTTTTGATTATATGCTTGGTTTCCTTGATATTTAAGAATGAATTTGCTTGATATATATTTACACTTTGGCTTGTTGCATATATTTAGTCATCATTCAAGTTATTTTTTTGTATATATTATAAATATATATATATATATATATAGCGCTTTATTTCAATAAAGCGGTATGTGCTATAACTCCAGGAGGCCTTTGCACTTCGCACTCTTGACAACTATGCATATAATTACCAGTGTTATCAAATGGCGGCCTTAGCAGCTCCATGGCGGATGGCAGTGGCAGAATTCCAAAATTCCGCCACAATGCCATCTGCCTTGAGCATATTTCAAATAGCAGTGCCATGGTCGTAGCATCGTTGCGTCATGGCGGTGCCATGGCTGTAATCAATGGCCTGCTGTTGGCCATGGGCCTCGGCTAGCCTAAGGCCTTTGCAAAGTGGGCTAGGGGAAAGCGATGACCATCGTAGAGTGTGAAAACCATTTCACACACAAATATTGCAGTCGAATAGCCAAACTGCAAATCACAGCAAATCGAGAGAGATGATCGCAAGCCACATTTCGAGCTGAGATAGATGATCGTGAGCCAGACTTGTTGCATTTCGAGCTGAGAGAGACGATCGCAAGCCAAACTTGTTGCATTTCGAGCTAAGAAAGATGATCACGATAGCTAGACTGCAAATCGACAATTGAGAGCCGACTGCAAATCAAACTACAAATCGATAGCCAAAGCCGAGAGACAAACTGGGTAAGCTTTTTTTTTTTTTTTTTT